CAAGGATAACAGGAAAGATATATGATGATGATTATCTGCACTTTGAGCGAGTTCCTCTCGAAAAAAAAAAACAATGACTAATCTTCTTCGCGATGATGTTAATATGCAAACATAGAGCTACGAAAACATAGATAACATCGCATATGCATTTGAAAACAGAAGAGAACGAGCAGTGAAAAAAAATGAAACCGCGAGGTTCTTTGCAAATCACAGAAACTGTGAAATAGTGTATTGTGCGATTACGGCTTTAGCAATCAATGCGTCATTATTCACATCAATCTGAAGAATCGCACTTTTTGGGGTAGAGCTATGGTATTCCTGTGTAATTGTGATGTGAAAGTGAGATAAGACTGTATCCATCAAGGGCAAAGTGGAGATAAGAGTACCAACTACATAAATTCTGAATCTTAAGAGCAGGCAGTCAGTTACGGTAAAAGGCATGTAAGACGCAACAGCACTTTTTTAAGTCTATTTCTGTGAGAAGTATTTATGGTGATTAAACAACTCATAAAAAATGTACTTAGAGGCTAGTTTTTCCATTTCATTCATGAGATGATTGTAGGGAGATTTCATGAACTCCCCAGTGAGATTAATAACTTTTGGCACTATCACCTTCCAATTTGGGAAAAACACCTTTCAAATCATATCAGATCATAGCAAGACTCCAGTTCGGTTCTCATTGTCGTTCTTAATCAATACTTCAATCCCCTTTCTACTTTTTACAACAAACGTACTTTGTGCATTTCAAGAAAACATGTAAAAACTCAGCCAAATCTACGATCGATACCTATACTTCTTTAGTAAATTTGGAGATGCATGATATCCAAGGATATTGAAATTGTGCAGAGGATTTGTCTCATCATAGCAGTATGCGTTAGAATTGGCGGCTTTAGAATGACTTAGAAAATCATAGCAAATTGTTTTTTGGCTCCGCCCAAGCCACGCCCTCAATGACCATCTCCCCATTCACTGGGGATTTCCTCTGCACCTACCACTGTTATTTCCCTATTAGTTCTAGTAAAATGAAAAAAAAAACAACTTTACGTCCACAGAATAATGTCTCTTATAATTTGGACATTTCAGAGGCCCTTGTG